TAATCCGTTCCGGCGTCCGCAGACCACGCGTCAGGGGCAGAAAAACGGCCGCTGACCACGCGTCAGGGCGGAAAAATGGCCACGGGCCACGTGTCAGGGGTGGAAAAATGGCCGCAGACCACGTGAAACGGGTGGAAAAATGGCTGCGGACCACGTGGCATGGGTGGAAAAATGGCCACGGACCACGTGGCACAGGCGGAAAAATGGCCGCGGACCACGTAGAATGGGTGGAAAATGGCTCGTAAGTTGAGGCGAGTTTGTAAGTAGAGGTAAATTTTTGGGGCCGGAGCTGATCGTATCTCAAAAATTCCGTAAGTAGGGCTGTTCGTAAGTAGAGGTACCACTGTATAGCCAAATAACAGGTAGTGGTACTGTGAAGGTGTGATTTTTTTTGCAAAGTTTCAGAGCCACTCTCCTTGTCCCAAATCAGTATCACATCTTGAAGAGCGGCACTTCTGTCTAACCACTCCTGAGAATGAATTACAAAAATATACCACTGGTGACACAAACTTTTCATATGTGTCTTCTCAGTTCACATAATGTTAAAGGAAGAGGGCTCCAATGGCTTTTAAAAAAAATTAGACATGGACGATGTTATCCATGATAGCTGAATGGCAATACTTTACAGTTAATCATTCACAAAGAATGTCATGGGATGGCCATCATCATCATGCTTGTGAACATCTAACATCTCATTGTCAGGTATAGAAGGGATATTTTATCAACACAGTCACCAAGACTGTTGGTCTGAACATATGAATTGTTTGTGCTTTGAGACTGGTATTTTCATTATCCCAGATATACATCACAAGCATACATGTTTTACTAAAAGGACTATAGGATTGCCATATTCTGTAAAAGCAAACTTAAGAGTCCATTGAATCTGGAATGAAGAACAAAAAGTCCTCTCCAAAATAATTAAACAATACTGCAGTATTGTGCTATGTTTTCAGCAGCTTCAAAACTATTCTCCTGAAACAGCACACAAATAAAGTGAATTAACTATATGTTGCAGATGTATAATTAGTAGGGACACATGGACACAAGTCCCAGAATCTCACTGGCATGGAGCTTGATGAAATTTGCATTCACAGAAAACAGCATTGACTTTCAAGAGGCATTTCTGCTTTGACTAAATTTTATTGGTAGGGATAAATCATAGAGAAGAACAAGAGGCATAAATGGACTATAAATGGACTGATAAATACCATCCTGTTATATCTTAGAGAATATCTAGTTAGGCTAAATTAATAGAGACATGCAAGCATGGATGTTTCAAACATACAAATTTTCCTATAAAATCTACTAAAAGCCCTATTTCACCACATAAAATAATGGCATCCAATTAGAGCTGCCTTGAGGTCATAACTTGTGCTTGTGAAGATCTTGTTCATCTGTTGATCAACATGCATTTCAAGTTATGACAAATTCCAAAATCTGTCATAGCAAAGGACAATAAAGAGACAACAATACATTGGCTATCCTTTAAGATGGCACAGAACTCTTTGTTATTCTGCATAATGACATTGTTACCATACCGTGCTACAAATATGTCAGATCATGTGTGATGAAAAAGCACGGAAAAGAGTTTTCACCTGGAAGATTTAACAAGCTCGAATGGGTTGACATACTGCACCAATTTCTTTCCTTGCTGATGTGATCACCGTTTCCTTAAGAAGTCTTTTTTTCTTAAATATATTTTTATAGGTGCATTATATTTAGGCTACAATTGGTAATGAGCCCCACTGAACATAATAGAACTTACTCACGCATGGGATAGCATTGCAAAAAAGGAAAGGAATTCCTTTGTTATCTGGTTATCTGCTGCATGCTTTACTGAACTGAAGTATTCTAACTATTCCTGACAAGATTTCCTTTTTTACACAAGAGATTATTATTATTATTATTATATTTTTAGAATATAAAATATTAGAATAGAATATAACTTGCACTGGAAGTAGATTAAGATGAGCAGGTTTATGCAGATTTATGCAGCTCTTTAAAATATTATTTGGATTCGTCTTTGCTTGCCTTCAAAGAATTTGGAATACTAATAGTCCAATTGATTTCACATTAGTACTAAAAGGAAAAATATACATCATTGTTTAATTACTTTAAAAATATGTTTGAAGCAATTCAATTCTTCCAGGAAACAAAGCATCATTTAAATAACCTCTATTTTTGCAACATTAAAAAGAGATTAATAAATATTTAGCTTTTAAAAATGCCTATCTCTGATTAAAATGGAAGTGTACAGTTTATCTTACCTGATATGGAATTTGACCTAGGTTTGCTAGCTAACTGATGGGCTAGAGTTGAAGGAACTTCTGTTGAAAAACCATTCCTTCATTTGATTGATGAAGTTCCTCTGGATCCAACCAGTTATTTCTAATATAGAGCAAGTTGTGCTTTTCACATCCACTAAAGCAAAAATTCTACAACTCTTTTTGACCTGCTATCTGATTATGTTTTACAGGGAAGGAGTGGAGGGCAATCTATGTTATAGTAACTAACTTCCTAAAATCAACTTATCCTAGCACAAAACACAATATATCTCCATTGTAGCTTGTATCTATTAGAAAATGTGTTACTCCTATTGTAGGGTAAATTGAAACATTTCCTTCCTCAATCTTCGTATTAAATGTTTGTTTCTACTGACAGAATTTTGGACTGCTGTTGATACCTGAATAAAAGACAGACAAAACCCTTAAGAATGGAAAGTAATACAGTATAACCAAGATAGAATATAGTACAACTTCTCTAATATAACTGACGAAACACCAGTTTCTAAAACAGTTTTCCCAATTTCTAAGAACGGGTACACTGTTCAGTACTGGAAATGCATCAATCAATCAATGATTTCTACTGTCAATACAGGTTCTGAATATGCTTTACATAACTTGTTTTGTTCATATTTTAATGAATTAATACCAAACAATTTATTTATATTTATTTATTTGAATTTATTTAGCTACCCAACTCCAATGGATTCTGGGCAGTATACAAAACTAGAAAAAACATTAAATCAAACAGGCAGCCCAGACTAAAATAATCTAATAGACAGCAAAATCAACCAAACAAAAAAGGGGCCATTGAACAAACAATAAACCCCAGGCCTGGGACCAAAGCCAGGTTTTCAAAGCTTTCTGGAACCCCAGGAGAGAGGGTGCCATCCTTATCTTTGGGGGGATGCTATTCCAGAAAGTGGGGGCTGCAACAGAGAAGGCATGCTTCCTAGGGCCTGCAAGATGACAATGTTTAATGGAGGGGACCTGGAGTGCACCCACTCTGCTAGATTGTACTGGGTGACCAGAAACAGCTGGAGACAAGTGGTCTCTCAGATATCCAGGCCCTATGCCATACAGGGCTTTATAGGTAATAACCAGCACCTTGAATTGCACTTGGAAGCCAACTGGCAGCCAGTGCAGTTTGTGTAGCAGTGATGACACATGTGCACACCAAGAGGCTCCTGGTACTGCTCACACTGCTGCATTATGAACCAGTTGTAGCTTCCGGGTGGTCTTCAAGGACAGCCCCTTGTAGAGCGCATTGCAATAATCCAATCATGAGGTGACCAGGGCATGAGTAAACTGCCTGAAGGGCCAAACTATGATGGGTGGACAACAATTTTATTCAGAGTTACTGTTATCCAGCATAAGAAAAGCTAGCAAGCTTTTATCAAGGACTTAGGAATAACAGGATCCAGAAAAAGGTGTCAGAAACAATGTTGTATATTTCTATTGGGCTTCTGGTAACAGTTTGGCCTATTTTTTTTAAAAACCTAGCAACTATATAATGAAGGTAAGAGTCCAATACTTCATGGAGCATATTCTAGTTCTTCCTTTCTCCAAAAGCTTAGTGTATGGTGTTTTATGTTTGGAATTGCATCTGAATTCTCTTTCATATCTGGAAGTCAGTACTTACAAGGAAACATATGCATGTGTGTTTGATTTTATGTAGAAATTTAGAAGTTTCATTTTTTACAATAGCAGAAAATACATTAGTGGAGCCACCCTATGCAGTACAATGGCAGGATGCATGCTCCATCAGAAATTCCCTGTTTTATCCAACTCCAAAATGCAAAGCGATCACAGCAACAGTACAGACGTGAAAAGATAAAAAATGATGAAAATAAACACAGAAGGAATGAGATATGCTCTTACTTTCTTCAGAAAGATCATTTTCTTCTGCTTCTCTCTCCATCTCTTTGCACCATCCTTCCATCCTTTTAGTCTCAGTATGTAGCAGCTTCATAAACCAAGATCCATCTCGGCGACATGGAGACATCCGTCCTGTTTCAACTGTCTCAATGGATGGTTCCAACCAGGGTTCAGGTGGTGGGAGACTGGAGGTGTCAACTTGGGTCCTGTAATCTTCTCTATAGCTAAACAGACCTTGTGTCCGTACAGTTCTTACTGCACCATACTGAGTAGGAGTACTTGGCTCTGAATGTCGCTGGAAAGAGCCACCAAACTGAAGTCCTTTGTCCTCCATTGTTATGTGTCCAGGAAAGCCTTCAAGTTCTAAATCGGCTTGAACAGCTGCTGTTACACTGTTTGAGCGTTTAAACCGTCCATGGCTGGAATAAAATGGAAAACCACAAACCAATCCATATATTGACAATATATAGTTTATAAAAAGAATGCACTGTCTACATTCTGCTACTTTTAGGGTTTTAAAAAAAGCTTTAGAAATATTAATAACAATGAATATAAAGATTTAAATACACAACATGAATGGACTGCAATCTTTAGAGGATGAATGGTTATTAATAGTCTAAAGCAAGATACCAATGAACATTATTCAAACTTCATTGGGAAAGCAAATATTGATTTATTCTCACAGTAGGAACTGGAAGTGTCTTATAAATGCTGCAGTGATTCACATTATCACTGAACTAAATACAAATAAGTGAGTTAGAAATCTTAAGGTTTAAAACAGGGTAGGGATGATGGGTTTTGAGAAAAATTATCATTGTTATTTGGAAACAGTCATAAATATCGGTGAGCACACAACAACTATACATCAGGCAGACAAAAATATATAAAGAAACTGATCAGTGTACCGTTTATCATCTTCCACTTGCACCCCTACCGAATGATACTCCCGTAAGCCTCTGCTATCAGTATCTGAATCAGTTGCTGCTTCCACCTAGTTCAAGACAAAGGAGAAATGTTTTGAAGTGAGCATGAAATTGGAGATTATACCTACCTCAAAGATTTAAAGTAAAGTTGAATTCCAGCCTCCCCCAAATGGTGCTTTTCAGGTGTGTTGAAGGCAGCAACTTCCAGAATTTTTGGCTAGGATGGAGGATATTGGGTTGGGGTTTGCCAATATATTGTCTATGTTTATCTAAGAATCTTAATTTGAGCTGACTTACACATCTTGAGAACAATGCATAATCATTTTTATTTTCCTTGCATCCTCCTTTACACACTTATGTAACATGAAAGCACGGGGTGGGATTGTACTTACTCTCCCTACTGCCAAACTTCATGGGTTCAAGAGTAGAGCCTGTACATGTGTGATTTATATTATCAGGACCCTTTGAAAAAGAGGGAAACTTTTCCCCTTTAAATGGGGGAGAACTGGGATTCACTGGGGTCTTCCTCTTGCATGAAATGGTGAGGGAGACAAAATTAATCCTTGGATTCCTCTTTCTCCTTTCATCTCCCTGCATCACACCCCAAGCTGTAGCAGAATGGCAGGGAAGGTAACAATGAGACCTGCAGGAAGATGGGTAGTCAGAGAATATTGTCAGCCACCGTCATCCTTCAGCACAAGGCTAAATCTGGATTTAGCCCTGGGTTTCCAAGCACCTGAAAACTGAGATGTGTACAACTTATAGACATTATTTGGTCCATAGTGCAGAACCCATGAACATGTGGTCAGCATGTCAACTGAGGTTTGTTAGGATCTTTACTCTATACAACATGACCATGGAATTTCCAGTCTTACTGATCAAAATTTCATTTGCATTTAAAAATTCCTGAATGTTACATTCTTGGTATCAAAAAAATCAGTATATGAGACAAAGACTGTTCCAAGTTATTATTCCGTACAGCTTGCCAAGGCTGATGCTGACTAAATAGCTCAGTGATTATTGCCATGCCTTAATGCTCCTTGCTTGCTTGCCTGCCATGCCTAGAAGTAGAATTGGGTGCCAAATGAGGATTTTCTGTGAAATTTGACAAAGTAAATATTTTAGTGCCAGGTGCATAAAACTAAATGAAAGTGGAATTTATTTCTAGTATAGAAATAAAATGCAAATGGGATTTTTTAGTCTTTTAATCAGGAAAAAACTTCACCTGTGTGACCATATGCCCATCAGTTTTGTCCAAGTAATAAGAAGAAATAACAGCATTTTAGAGTGTTTCACTTTGCATCTATACCATAGCAGTAACCCTGTTGCACAGCCTGGTGTTACATTTAGTTCATTACCAAGTTTTTTCTATCAAAATTGGACATAGAGGTTTTATCCCATCGTGTCTGTGTTTTACTGGAGGGTGTCAAATCTACAAATGTTATGTACAAGTCAGCCTTCTTTTAAAACCTGCACTTGCTCAACAAATATTAGGCAAAGACAAAATAATCTGGCAGAGCAGGATGATAACCTTGCTTGTTCATCAAGAATGAGCTTTTCTGTTTCTTGCTGCATCCCAGATTTACACAATTACTCAGCATAAAAATTAGCAAAAGGACCAGTTAGACTATTGGGTCTTAGGCTGTAATTTTCTTTTTCTGGATAAAAGTGAAATTGACCATATGCCCATCTTGCCTATCTATGGACTCAGCTGCTGAAATCATGCATGAAACGTATAAGAAGAAAAGCATATATTTCCAAGTGTGTATGAATGATGTATTTTATAACTGTCTGACATGCTTATGGTTACTAATGTTAGGGTACTACTGTGCTGAAACTCAGAATATGTTAAGTTAAAAAGAAGCAGTTGGTGGGCACTTGGACTTCAAGAAATCTGGATGGGATAAAAGATAGGAAAGCATTCACACTAGAAAGGACATATTACTTCTGAAAGTTCTTTTGTGAATGACTTTTAGGGCTTGGAGACTGTTGTTACTACTGGCAACCCCACTGATTTAAAAGGCAACCAGGACCTCCAGACAATTTTCCTATGTTACAGGATTATGAACACATTTTTGTAAAAGATTGTGATGATTTATCCAGGGAATTCAAAACCAGAACATAAATGTAAAACTACTAATCATAAAAACACATCTTAAATGTAATAATCCAATTAAATTGACTGCCCTCAGTAACTCATGCCTTAACGACCACTTTAATGGATTACTGCAACATGCTTTACATGGAGCTGTCTTTGGAGACAATATGGAAGTCATAGCTGGTACAAAATCTGGCAGCAAGATTACTGGCAGCACAGCCCTGCTGATGCAGAATTATACCTATACTAAAGTCACTGCACTGGTTTAAAGCTCTAAATGCTACAGCACCAGGATACATCAGGCAATGTCTTGTCAGAATTGAATATGCCCATCCAGGCCATTCATTGAGAGAGGGCCTGCTGAAAGTTCCCTCCTCTTGGGAGGTCCATGGGTAAGAGGACAGGCATTCTTGGCAATCCTCTCTCCCAGAACTATGTGCAGACCCCACCTTGCTGCAGTTCCATAAGCCCATTAAAGCTGTCTTAGTTCCACATGCTTTTGGTCCCAGCTGAGTGGCTGTAGGCTTTATTGGGGTGGTGGTGGTGGTGTTGCCTTTGCTTTCAGTGGCTATTTTTTCCCCCCATTTTTGATACTGTTCTGGATTTAGTTATTTATTTTTAGGCTTTTTCTTTTTCTTTATGTTGTATGCTACCCAAGGTCCTTTGGAGTTAGGAATGGGTTATAAGTACTATAGAATGAATGAATGAATGAATGAATGAATAACAATAAACAATTAATCCAAACCCTAACCTATTTTAACCATATATGTAATTAACCCAAATTCTAACCCATCACTCTAATGTCAACACTAATATATACCCTAACCTGAACCCAGAATGGAATTTCAACCAATTACTACTAAATTATAAAACTACTCCAATACTAACCTCATACTAAATTTAACCCTAAATCTCAATGAAGCCAAATCCTATCCCTAACTTCACCCAGACCTAGTGATGGGGGGAGTGTTTATGGTATATATTACTTTTTATTGGTATCTTAGATTTATGTTATAATAGGTATTTCATGGTGCGGTTAGAGTTATGGTATATATTTGTATTTGTGTTGGTGTTAAGGCAACATTACACTTAGGGTGTGTGTTCATGGAGTTTTAAGGTCAAATTCGAGGAGGACATTAGGGTGCATTTTTATGGTCAATGATAGCCTTAGTTTTTTGTTATAAATGGGTTTTTTTGGTTAGGGTAAAGTATAGTTAATATTTCTACTGGATTAGAGTGAAGTTAATATAAGGATTCAGGTTCATTGAGGTTTATGGTAAAATGTATTGCAAATGTTGGCATGTGGAGAATTTTTATGGTAAGTGGTAGCCTTAGTTTGATGCTACAATGAAGATCTCATTCTGGGGTTTGGGTATAGCTATATATTTCTATTGGGAATGTAGTGAAATTAGGGCTACAATTCAGATTCATTCCCCTGTATTGTTAGATTGTGTTGGGGTTAGCTCTATGGTGAATCTGTATAGTTAGAGGTAGACTTAGCTTTATGTTATGAGGTGGATTGTCTGCTGCAGTTAGGGTAAATCACTGCATTGGTAATTGGGGCTTCTTGTTAAATTTGTATGTATTGGTAAATGTAGGGGGAAAGTTAGCACTGAGGTAAATTTTTATGGCTAGAGGTAATCTTAGTTTTTGATAATGACTGAGATACTGCTCAAGATTTGCGTCTAGGAGATTATATATTTGCATTGGCATTAAAATGAAGTTAGGGTTAGGATTTAGATTCATTTTTCTTTAGTGTTAAATTTAGCATTAGAGTTAGTATTTGAAGGTAACTGGTAGTCTTAGCTTTATGTCATAGTTGGGATTTTCTGAGTAGGACAATTAATCTTTATATTGGTGTAAGGGTGCAGTTAGTATCAGGGTTCAGGATCATTGAAGTTTATTGCTAGTATAGAAGGAGTGCTAGCACGGGCATGAGTTTTTATGGTAGTCTTAGATTTATATTATGGTTGAGATTTTGTGGTGGGGTTAGAATCCTGGTGTATATTTCTAGTAGTCTAAGGGTTAGGGTTTATTGAGATGTATGACTTGGTTTCTTTCAGGATGAGTTCATTTTGAAATACAGGCCAAATAATAGCAACAAAGAATTGTCAGAATCTTTTATAACTTCTTCTGGTAATAAAATCATGAAGAACTGAAGTTCAATGAAAACCAAAAAACTATCTGATAAAGGAAGAATGGGCACACGTTTTTGCAATTATCTTCTATTAATCTATTTATTTATTTATTTATTAAATTTATATGCCACCCATGTCTCCCAGAGGGTGACTCTGGGCAGCTCACAATTAAAATCAAACTTTAAAAGCAGTAAAAATAAATATCCATATTATATTACCTAAAAAATAATACTATATAAAAAGACTATATAATTCGAGATGACGGTGGGGGGGCATGTTTATACAGGTAAACACGATAATCTTCACAGATATTTAAGATGGAAAAAATACAAGGAATATCAGATTGTAATTGGAATAAAGACATGAGTTCAAATGATAGTTTTTGTGCACTGTTGGCAGGACTGTAATAATATAGCTATTCTATAGTGATATTGTTAGAGGGTTACTGAAATAAGAGGATATAAATTATTTCTGGAACTTTGGGTAATTTTCTTGGTTTGTAGAAAAATATCGTGAAACTTTCATGTCACATTATTGGCCGCAACTAGAATGAAACTCACATTTAATGCCTTTGTAATATTTTCCTTAAGAAACCATGTTTAGAACATCTTGGACTTTTACAAAGGTTCTGGCTGTTGCATCAAATAAGAGAAAAGGATACATCTAAACCCCACATTTCCCACTGTGAAGATCTAGATTTGAACTTCTCACCTCCAAATAAGTATCCCTTGGCATTTTAAAGTGTAGTGTGCAGTGAAATTAAGTGGTACATTCATCAGTTAACTAACAAATTAAGGAATAGTCCAAGAAGCAAAAAAGAATTCCTATGTTC